CTATGATAATAAGTTGGAAGTCCATGGGGATGTGGCAGATCAGCAGCTTTGAGTGAAATTATGTCATCAGGCGGCACGCGCGCCAATAAGTTCAATTAACGGGTTGTTTACTTTGCACGAGCAACATGCCTACGCAGAAAAACAGATTTCAAGAAAATATTTTAAGAGTCATTGGAAATATATTTAGTGTTATCTATCACTTTACTTGACGTTGTCTTGGTTAACTAAACAACTCAGGGGGGTCCTGAGCTCATTTGAGGGCTACTTTGAATGTTTTCGCAAATAATGAACAGGATAGAAAGCATAATCTAGAAAGCATACGTGTGGAGACAGCGAGGTTCTCAGTCAGTGGTCTTTATAATGACTATTGTTCAAAAAAAAAAAAAAAAACCTCTCGCATAATTTGCCAGTGATTGATGAAAAGGCCCCGTTAAATTTTTTTTCGTTTTTTTTTTTTATGATTCACGCGTCCACTGACTGAATAATAGAACCAAAATCTGGTACCAGAAGCAAGTTTACTCGTAGATCTGAGCTGCAAAGCGTGCGCGGCTTTTAACCGCAGCTGGTGAGCACATGGTCCTACTCTCGGCTTACCTACACCTTTTCGACCTCGCCCAGGTTTCATCTTCCTAGGCTTTTCGTTAGAAACGTAATTAGGATGAACGGCTAATATCGGAGTCAATGATAAAAGGTAAAACTGCCTCAGCTCATCTGCTCTTGTCTAATACTTTTTTCCGGATTCATAAAATTTATTTAGTCGTTTCATAATTTGGGAAATCTTGTAATAATTAGCTTGGGAAGAAACTTTTTGCAGTGTCTGCGTCCATTGCTTGACTTGAAAAGTGCAACTGTCTTACACTGGACTACGGTTTTGACAAATCAAACCAAGCATGTAATGCACACGTATTGCATACCTATGTGGTTTTGAAAGACTTTTTTAAATGTCCACTTTATTGTAGAGGTGGTTCCGCTCGCTTGTTGCACGCATCGTTCACATCAATAAAGCTGCGTCACGGTTTGTAAGCTTAAGAATTAAAAAAATTTCAGTTTGATTCTTTGTTACCTGTTTCTACCTTCTCCAATGCTTACTAACCTTGTTTCTTTGTGATTCCGGCATACTATTACACGCCTTTGTTTGGACCTCCACCGTATCTCAATAAATTTGCGAGGCGCAAAATAGAAAAATAAAACAACTAAAAATATAACTAGCTCTTTAAGAAAAAATCTTACTCTAAGCGCGAAACCCTCCGCCAAAGTAACTACAGAAAGAAACTTCTATCATCAGTGGCACCAAGAATAGGGTAGCTTATGGTGTACTGTGTCCCTGAAAAAGCAACGAGATTGTTCAAATTAGTAATCAGCTCCTCATCATCAACGCCGGTCAGACAACCAAAAGTAAAGCATAGTTAGTTGGGAAGTCGTCTCCAGTCCTCTTTTTAGCTCGGCTAAATATCAACAACCTCTCACACAAAGATCCGCCTATCATTTTATCGTGCAACATGGAAATATGAAGCAACATCAAATATCTCTCCATCTTTTTTGCGAGCGGCTTAGTGAGTGAGTTTCAAGATTTTCGGGTTTTTGCTTTTGCAGATTTTGCAGATGGCGCATGGCAAAAGAAGAGGATCATGTTTTGTTTGATTTTGTTGTTGTGTCAGTCTTTTGGTTGGAAAGGCATTACCTTCCCGACACGATTTGATTTGAACCGGGAAAGGTGACTCAATTAATTATGAATAAAATGTGCTTTTACTCAACGGGTAATAAAAGTTGAAAATATTACATTTCCTTCTGAGTTTATTTCGAGCTCAGCTTAAACAGTCTTTGAACATAAAATTGCAAAAAATGTTTTAGTAGTTCAAACTTCTATCCTCTCAAACCGCAAAAGTTTGCTCTCGCAAAGTGCAAGGAATCACAGTTCGCATCGCGGTAGTTTTTTCCAAGAAAAGTTATGAATTCCTGAGTCTTAGAACGTGTTCTACCCGTTTATAAACTATGCTAAATTTTATTTAGCCAATTCATCAACTTTAAAACACCACTAAAATCTACAATGATGAACCAGACAAACTCAGAACCCTTTGAAAGAAGACCTCACTCGAAGCATCTATTCACCTGGAGAACGTTACGGATCTCTTTCAAGATCATTCATTCATCGATGTTCGGTTAAATAACACCACCTTTCTTTTTTCCTTAAGTTGACGCAAATTACATTGACGCCATTGTTTTAAAGCTCCTTAATCAAATAAGCAGGTTTTAATCACACACAGAGGACAAAGCTATATAAGGAGTGAAAAAGAAAACACGTGTTGCACTTTTGACTCGTTACCTAAGCGATGAAGCATAGAACTTTGCAATTTAAAATTTTAACAATGCAGTTTCCTTTAACTAAGTTCTATTCAGTTTCACTGAATTCGAATTTTATTTTCCAGAACAATAGAAAAACTTGTCACCCTCGCCACGTTTTGAAGAGGGTGTTTTAAAATCTTTTCTCTGCGATGTGAAAGCGTCAGTGCATTCAACTGTGATCTCATTGAACTTCACGAGGGATGCAATTATTTTTTTCATTTGCAGTCATGGACCGATGGCTAAAGGCTCCATTCGTTAACGATAGAACGGTTTCTCTGGATTGGGAAGCTGATACGAGTTTCTCCATACCGGGTACATAACGGAAACTTGCCTCTCAGCTGTTAACTGAATACGTAAAACAACACTATTATTAGGATAGATAGACAAGTATCTATGGAAATAGTATCATAAATGTAAGGCAGGAATTTGCGTGTGACGAGAAATCATTTAAATCACGGTGAGCCACTAATCCAAGTTGATAAGATTGTAGACATCATTATTTTTATCAGTAAAAGCTGACTGAATGTTAGAGATAGTTACCTTTCCTATTTTTTTTTCTTTCATGTCATAAAACTGTTGATTTTCTTCAATTTAACAACAATGTATCTAAGTGGCGACATGAGAACGTTCATTCTTGTATTTGTTTCTTGTACTCAGCCAACGGTATCACTTCCATGTTTCCTCCTCTTGTTAGGAATGATGGGTAAAGAAAATAAACTTTTTAAGCCACCAATTTATGTCCTACAGGTGAGGGAAGAATTGTTGAAAGTTAAGAGAAGGTTTTTCAAGAGGTTTCTCTTGGGAGAAAAGTAAAGTTATTTGATTTCGGCCGAAGGGAAGTAATTAATCAATCTCGTGCCAACTCAATCTCAGTAGAAAATTGGTCGTCTCAGAAAACCTGTCTCCTGTCTCTCGATTCCTGGCTGAATTAAGTAATGCCACGAAAATACAGAGGGGTAAGTTTCTAAAGAAACTGTAGTGGTACGTCGGTGGGGGAATATCGAGATAATTTTTTGGATTAATATTAGTATCTGGGCAACTGCCCACCTACCCCTCCCCTAACTCAACAACAGTCAATTGACAACAATTTAAGGTTAATGTTAGGTTAGGGGAGGGGCAGGTGGGCAGTTACCCAGATAATGATATTGATCCAATTTTTTTTATCAACTGAGTTAATAAGGTAAATTGGTCCCCGTAAAGAGTTTCTAGAGCTGACGTTTCGAGCGTTAGTCCTTCACCCGAGCGAATGACGAAGGACTCTGACGAAGGGATAGCTCTCGAATCGTCAGCTTTGGAAACTCTTTACGGAGACAAATTTACTTATGTCCAAAGAACACGAGCAGCTTACCTTTTCTTGATTACACTCCATCAGGGGGGGCTTTTTTCCCGAACTCAATCTATTCAAAACCCTGCTAGCCAACGTGTAGCCGCACCCACCCCTCCAAAGGTGAAACGGAGGCAAGGGAGCGGCTGGGGGGGGGGGAGGGTGCGACTAAAACCCTGCACATTTAAACAGTGCACACCACGCGAAAGCTTGCTGTGCTGGGAAAACAAAGGGTGACTGAAACACGCCGATTTGCTTACTGTTAGATTGAAAATAATAGGATTACGGATATAAATTAATGTGATATCAGATGAACAGTATTAACTAACATGGAGAAAACGCACCCTTTTTTCTAAAATTATTAATTACCCGTGACGGGTCGATATAGACATACACACTGACAATTTGTGAGGTTCGTTTTATATGCATCGGGTCACCGACTTAACGCCCTTAGCTTAATATCAATTTCTAAACTTGTTTTGTCTGCGGTTAGAAATGTATGTACATAACAATCGTGATTTTGAAGTGTAGAAGATAGCTCACGAAAGACTTCGTGCCAGTTTGTGTTTTATTTTATATCCTACCCACCCGAATCAGAATAACTGAGTCTAATGGCCCCATTTTCCCAAAAGAATGAATCAAGTTAACTTAAAAGCTTTAAAAATATTTTCGCAAGATTCAGGAGCTGACAGCTAGGCGGTGAACACATTAATCATTTCAAAACAATAATTAAATGCTTCAAAAGCGGTCTCTTCTGTACCCCCACTGAGATGAGACGACACTTGCCGACACTAAGCACCTTTGCCTGGTATTTATTTCCTTTTCCATTTGGTATTGAGAAATGCTTTCCGTACTTGAGATTGACCACGAACAATCCATGGGGTAGCGACCTCACCGCGCGTATTTCTGTCAATCTATTACAAACTCCTCTGGCATCTTTGAACGACACTTGCCGACACTAAGCACCTTTGCCTGGTATTTATTTCCTTTTCCATTTGGTATTGAGATATGCTTTCCGTACTTGAGATTGACCACGAACAATCCATGGGGTAGCGACCTCACCGTGCGTATTTCTGCCAATCGATTACAAACTCCTCTGGCATCTTTGAGGAATTTAGCGTGTGGCCGTTTCTTCGTTGGGAGTCTTGTACCCAGACAGAGCTGGTGAATATTCCCAACTCATTTTTAAGATTCGCATGATATATCAATATACTGGGTTAACTGATGGAGGAAATGCCGGAACCAAGAGCACAAATATTGCAACAGGACTTGCTTCATTTCTCTCAATACAGGAGAAGAACTGGGGAGGCTGGCTTGCTTTTGTTAGAATTTCGTGAGAGGTCTGGTAGCTAGTATTAGTAGTATCGCCGCCATATTGAAAGTGGTAGAGAGTTTTGAGCGTTTGCAGGATCGTCAGTAGTTAATTTGGGCTATTAATACGTTGAGGCAGATAAGTATGTGACATGATATGTTTTATCTTTCAAACAGGCCTTGATATTTCATAATTTGGAACATTTTCACTCCGTTGATGCACATATGAAGAGGATTTTGTGCATATGGTTGTATAACCGTTCTCAAATATTGTTTAACCTGTGCTGTTTAACCTGTGCTATTTAGCCTGTTCTATTTCATCGGTTATATGGTCTGAATTACCCTGTAAACTGATGGTAAGATAGGTAACAACTTAAAAGTTACTTGTAAAGAACAAAATTATGATTACTAGTAGCAACTTAAAGGTATTTGTACAGTTCTCTTATCTTAAATGGCAGACCTTATTACTGTTATTTTATATGCCTGTAGGCAAGCCTTCTCAATTTTATTAACGTGTATGGAAGGGAGCTGAGAGCGCTGTTTCTTCATGTACGTTAACGTTTGTGTGACACGAAATTTTTTTGGCGTATTTATGAAGCTTGTCATTTTTACAAGCCAATTCTGATAGAAGGAAAAATCTCACAGTCATTTTCGGGTCTAAAAGTTCCCTTATTTTGTCTTCAAGTGTCCTGTAGACTGGTAAGGAGTTACCAGGTGATGACAAAGAAAACTGTGAAGTCTCTCGCATCTCATGTACTTTTGTTGAAATACTCTTGAAATAATGTCCAATAGTGATGTACCCTTACCTTCAGCAAGCTCTACCAAGAGTTGTGATACATCATACTCAAGTAGTAAAATAGTAAGAAGTGGAAGTTGTGAGTACAGTTCAGCCCTACAAAGGAGAACTGCGTGCATCAAGGGGAAGATTTTGACAAAGATTGACTAAAAGGCTTTCTTGCCTGTGGTGTTCAGGTCAAGATTTGAACAAAATATTTCCGTTACTGATTGTTTAGTTTGTTGCATATCTGTTTTGTTTTCTGTGGTGAAATCTATGTTAAGAATGGGTAGCTGTGTTCCTTTCTGTTACTGTAACATATCATTCATTATCCTTGCTCAGTGCTCTAGAATTTTGTTACTGTTGAGAAATTATTGTAGCAAACTAAAAACTAACTTTAAATGGCAACATTAAAAGAATTGGCTGTATCACAAAGCACAATGATTTTCACTGAGAAGTCAATAGCTATTTTTACTGCAAATTGTTCATCTCCTTGAGTGTCTCAAGGGTGTAAAATAAACAACAATAAGAAGCTCACCATTCTTTGCTCGCAAAATGTCAGCTGAAAAGTATGTGGAACAACAGTGTCCAGTGTGGAAACAGTTCCCTTAATGGGCATTCTTTTTAGCTGAATTCATAGGCCATCTGATTTGATCAGTGGCATGTGTTGTAACAGCTGTCTTCAAAGCTGTGACAGAGCATATGGCTAATGACTTTGAAGTAGTAAGATCTCCTTGATGTCGATGATCAAAACTTCAGTCATCGAGGCTATACAGCTTCACAAAACAATGTATAACAAGACTGACTTCAACAAGTGGATCTACAAACCCTACAAAAGTGGCCCATGCTCTTCAAGCATGAAAAAATCTTGCACATGAAGAAATCCCTACAATGATGTTGATGTTTTGCCTCTCTTCTTGATTCCTCCTTTCTCCACCTTAGTTGCTGCAGTGTATTCATAGTTTTCTATGTCACAGCTATGTGACATAATCATTTTGGCTGCATGCTAGATAGCGACACTTTTCAGCTGCCAAATTGTACTTTCAATACGCAAAAAATGGTCAAGGAGAACTCACTAGGTCAATTGTTTCAAATTTTAGATACAGCTATCAACCAGAAAAAGAAAAAAAATTTAGTGTCATAGGCACTTTAAGAAAAGATAGTCATGCACTCAGACTTGCTCTCTCTCCTAGGAATATGTCACGAACTGTTCTGCCCCATCCAAGCAAAGTCCATGTATTTCTGTCTAAGCTTATGGGTGGGACAATGGTTTTCTGGATGCTGTGGAGAGCAAAACATGACTGGGCAGACATAGTGGTAAGCACATGCTTGGGCCTTGTGGAGTACAGTACTAGAATGTGACAACTGAACTGAGTCTAAACAAGTTCTGTTAGTTGGTTGACAACTCAAGTTAATTTTTACTTTGAATAGGAAATGTGTTGTGTGGTTGATAACTTTTTTCTCCCTTTAAGTCTGTTATTCTCAGCTTTTTGCTTGTTTTTGTTCTTAATTATTTTTTGTAATTATGAATGTAGTTAGGTACAATAGTTTGTTGAGTCTGTGGAGGCCTGGTTCTATTGTTTCTGGAAAAGAAGTTGTGAGCTCCTTTAGTCCAGCTGATTCCTATTTGATTGATGTACCCGTTGTAGTTTAATATGATTTCAGGTTGAAAATGATATTAAGCTACCAGGAGTTTGATTTGCATGTTTTTTTTTCGCTTTGTGTTTTTTTCTTTGCTTGTTTAGTGTTTGAAATGCTATAAAAGAAAACTGAAAGTAAAATTGAATGTGCAAGTGGACTCCAGGGGTGCAAAATGTTTCTTTTAGCTTGAAATTATTTATATTATTTATTTATAATTAAATGTTTTAATCAGTACCTATTGCTGTTTTTATTTGTAGCAGAATAATTTTATCATTTTTTGCCTTGATAATGATGTTATGTTTATGTTGAAATGTTGTTGACTAGCCTTGTTTTAGCTTTTTGAGTGTATTATAATGTTTTTATGAAATATTTCATGGCAATTTTTTTAAAATATTTTTCTAAATCACTTATTCTTCATCTTTGTGTAAAGACCATGGAAATGTACCAAGAACAAAGGAGAAAACAGATGGAACTAAAGTAGATTCGTTTGACCTGAAATTGATTTTTAATCACTACCTATACTTCAACAGTCCCCTCCCTGGAACAGTTTTTAGATGCAGCTCAAAACTTTTAGTTGCAAGAATTTGTGTGGTCAGCAGTCAACTGGATGTCTTTGCATTATGTTTGCAGGGGCACAAAGTTATGTTTGAAATGGAAGATGCAGAGAAAGCAAGAAAGAAGGGACTGGAACATCATTGATAAAGTGTTTATCTATTAACATTTTGCTTGTATTGTGGAGAGCTGAGGTACCTAACTTTAAAGTGAGAAAATGGAAGTGGATGCAACAATTATTGCAAAGGGGGACTAATCAATTGTGATGAGATTAAATTGGATAGTGTTAATGTGGTTTGATGTATCTACAGCAGTGATGAAGTAATTTTGTAAATATATCATGTACTTTATGTGGAATATTTTGTCTTGGTTTGTTTGCTTTTCTGTTAGTATGGAAGACATAAATTAATCTCTGCACAATTAAGAAAACATCTTCCTAAGTTCCCCATAGAGAAGTTTATTAGGATCTTTTGAACATTTCTTGGGTTATTTTTCTTTTTTCACCAAAAAGTTTTGACGTAGGGGTTTTATGATCTTTTTTAGCATTTTTTTTTCACAGTTTTCTGCTAAAATGAGCTTTGTTTTTAGATTTGGTTCCCATTTTGCTTTTCTGTAATATTTAACAGTGAAGCATATACATGGTACCACAGATCAGTATAAAGATCATTGTGGTTTCGTTGAAGTTACATATACCTGTGAATAGCAGAAACAGTCATTACCCAAACATGTTATTTTTAATTTTGCCAACATCTCTTACAACCTTTTGAGGCATTTTATGTAATGAGTGAAACATTTCTTCATTGAAAATTATTTTGATCACCTTGCATGATCATCCTTCAGAACAATCCAGTCTCTCGGTGTGGTTTATATGTGATACTGTCATGCTTTATTGCTACACTGAATGAGGGGAGCAAGGACATTCAGGAGTTGTGAGGCTCAATCTTGTTGCAAGAAATTTTGTCTGAGACTGTAGCTTTCCAGGCAGCTTTTCATATCTTGGGACCAGCCAGAATAATTTTCTATAAGGGGTCAAAAGTAAGGAATTTTGGTGCTTGGAAGCTAAAATCATTCAAGTTTGTTACCTTGAAATTACATTTGTGTGCAAGGAATGATACAGACTGGGTTACTTGGAACACTTAGGTTTGGACTGATTGGACAGCACAGAGATGATAATTTATCTCTCTTGATCAAGCATGGAAGTGAACATTCAGGCTGGTTTTCGGAAAGTTAAGGGTTATCGCTCTTCAAGCTAGTACATACATAATTTTTTTTATTAAAACAGCTTATTGAAAATGATTGCAATAGTGGAAAAGTTTGAGTTGAAAATAACCGAAATGAACACTCCAAATCAAAATTCCACGTGATTACTCCTATTATTACATATAATATTTCTTAAAACCAATTCAAACAGTTATGTTTTGTGTCCCTTTCAAGAATTTATAACCCAAAAAGATCTCTGCAAGAGGGGAAAGCCTCTATGAATCATAATATAGTTTTATGTCTCTAATAAGTTTAATACCTGAAACTTGCTACTGCTCTCAGAGATGCAATGTTAAGACTCTTGCAATTCATTTGAAGTATTCTCTTAAAAACTACACCACACCACTTGTAATGAAAGTGGATCAAAAAATGATGAATGTATGTCATCTTTGTCCAATTATATTGTTACATGAATTGAATTTTTTTTTTTTTTTTTCGGAAAATGAACACACTCAACCCACCATGTTACTACTGATTGAAACATTACAGTAAAGGGCCTCAGATTTACATTACATTTATTTTACAGTGTTATGTAAAGCTTGAACTTCTTCATACACTTACGGTGTATATATTTTATTGTATATTCTATTGTGAAAAAACTACAAGCATTAATTATGTAAAGTGTGCCACTGTGCAATTGCTCTCCGTGGCGATGCCAGCATGTCTGTCCAGTGTTGCTGATCTGGACCTGTTGATAATTCACCTACAACACATTTTCCAATGACTTCGCTGCGACCAACACGATCATAGTCCAACACAGAGATTATCAAAGATGTTTGCTCTATGTTCTCAAAGGGAACTTGAAAACTAAAGTTCTCATTGAAGTAAGGGTTAAGTGTTCTCTTCTTGACGGTTGTCTTTTTCTTCTTGAGTTTCCGTCCATCTTGAATCAAGGCTATTTTGACATAAGGATCTGTAATTTCAAGAAGGTAACTTGGAGTCTGGTTGTTTCAAAGAAACATTTGCCTAAGTTATTTCATTGAAGTCTTCAGTCCCTAACAACGATCAACAAGTCTGACTACTTTTTAGGATAATCTTTAGTGCAGTGTATTGTATGGGTTGAGACATTCATCAAGTCGCTGAGCAAGCGTAAAGTGATAGATCTTAAAAATCTTACCAAATTCATAATAACTTGACTTAATTATTATTTATCTGTTAAACCTTACACAGACCATTTTTCAGTGTTCCAAACTGCAACTGTTTTGGTCACCAGGGCAAGTTAATGAACAATTTGGTAATTTGATTTGAAGTCTATTGTTAAGTCATAAATTTGGCATCTAGAGTTTCATGGTCTATGAACAAGCTATAACATTTTTATCATGGTCCAAAGGTAAACTGTGTAAACCAGTGTTTGTCAGCCTTTAAAATAGCTATATCAATTATGTAACAGGCATTGTTCATATGCTGAAGTTAAAATACACTAAACATTTGCTTAAAATTGATTATATCTAATATTGCATGAAATGCCCTCCAACTTTTTCTCCACCAACTAAAAGTTTGTAGTTTCAGCTTGTCAAATGGCAAGTTTGAAACAGGTTGAATGCAAAGCCCTGTCTTTGAAGCAAGTAACAGCTTTGGCTTAACATTTTGTGACAGGTTCCTCACTGAAATGTTAGCAAGGGTGACTATTAAGAAATCAGTTTTAACCCTTTAACTCCCAGAAGTGATCAACATGAAACTTCTCCTGATAATATCCTTACATTATCCAGCAAACAGCTAGTGAGAAGTTATTCAAACTTATCGGGTAGAAGTTTTTGTCTTGATCTAACACCAAATTCTTGTAACTAATTTACAAGGATTTGTGTTGCAGCTAGATGGGAGAATTACCAATCAGATCTTTGCAGTTAAAGGGTTTATTAAACCCCTCAAAGTTATCTAAACTGTGGAAGAGATGCATAACTAGAGGTCTTTTAATACTCTTACCTGAAAAACCTGATACATCCATACTTTTAAGATCTTTAGCTTCTAATATTACTACTTGAAGTTTACCAGCAGCAGGGACATAACGCAATGAGAAACAAAGCTGTCCTAGTTCAGACTTGGAATGCTAGAAAAGATTCAACACAAGAAGATCAAGGGGTGAAATTTAGAAATTCTGTAAAATAAATGTAAGAGGTTGAAGTCTGTGGACTTGTTAATGATGAGAACGCTGTTTGCTTTAGTAGTGAGTGAAATAAAATGAAGGCATCGTTTTATAGTAGTTAAAGGCATTGTATTTGAAATCTGGAAGACTTAACTTCAAATACCTTACTCTGTTACTCAAAGCAATTTGTTTCTTGGAAGTTCTGACTTCATGTTTTTCGCTATACTAGCTGGTTTGACTCACACTAGAGGGGATATTTTTTAAACAATTTACAAGAACAAATTACATGTGTAAGTGTTGTTTTTTATACAGCAGTGATGTGGGAACTCACCCCAGTAAGTCCTCCTGAAGATGATGGTGGAATTAAAGCTCGCCATTCGTCAATGCTAGTTGCTAAATCTACATCAATAAGAGGGAGCTTGGCGTCTCCAATGATATCATGTCTAGAGAACCGATCAAAGTCATACAACTCTATACAAAGAGTTCTGTTTGTTATGTCACTGTATGGAATATTCTTGAAAACAAATGTTTCCTTGAAAACTGGATTTAGAGTCTTCCGGTGAACCTAAAATTTGAAATGTTAATGAGTGGGTAAGACTTTCCTCAACTTCAGAAATGATTGTTTTCAGTATCGTCATGATGTCGATTCATGGTATGGATGGCTTGTGCTCAAACAGACAGTTGTTCGAGAGAAGTGCCAGTTGAATCAGTTTGTTTCAGGTTGAAGTCTTTTGAGGGTTTTCAAAGGTGAACTGAGACCAAGTGGACTTTAAATGATAGGACCCCATTTGGAACATGCTGAGGTCCTAGGAGTCTTTTCATTTTCCTCCAGCCAAGCAGGAGAAACAAGAGTAAAGTGTGGGCTTTGAAAAGGCATAGGGCATAAGCAAGAAAAAATAAATTGTCATGTTCCTTTCTCTCCACACAACTTTTATTTGGTTAAATGGAACTGGAAACAACTACCATGTCTACTATGCAACTGCAGTCCCTGTTGAAACTCACTTTGGATTATTGCAGAATTTTCACCAGGAAGGAAGATCAGGCAATTTTAGTGAGCTGTTTGTAATTTTATCAAAACTTTTTCCCTAAGATAAGTTGGATTGTTTGTTACCTTAGTATCAAATTTCTTTTTCCTGTCGGGTAACAGCATAACTCTTGCATATGGATCAGATGTTCCACTGAAATCTTTAGCAGGGACATCCTGAGCTTCTACTACTCCAACTGTGAGACAGTTATCATTGAAGCTATAGTCAAGGGTGAAGTGAATGCGACCTGGAAAAAATAATCAACATTTAAGCCCTGTATATCACTATTATGCCATGTCTGTCAGTATTATGTTATCACTCACATCAGTCTCTAGCCTGTATTTAACCTTTTCACTTCTTAGGTAAAGGTTCTTTCAATATTATCATCACCAGCCATGTTTTTGTAATGTTCAAATTTTTAGGAAATCATACATAACAATTCATTATTATTGTGTGGCAGTAAAATGTAAGGATGCCTCCTTAAATAAGATATTGACAAGGCGCAATCGTGTAGCTTGTCATTACCATAGCCTAAAATAATTCATAAAATAAAGAAATTCTGAAATGATATTAGAAACCCAAAAAGTTATGTATCAATGAAAGATATCTTTAGTTGTTATTATTATTATTATTATTATTATTGTTATTATTATTATTATTATTATTATTATTATTATTTACCTATTTTTACTCCTGAGCTACCATCAGACTGGAATTCATCACTGTTGTAATCTAACTCATCTACAGATGGCTGAACTTTCTCTTGGTAGCTGGCTGCCAACATTTGTATGGCTTTAAGGTCAACTTTTTCCTTTATGGCTTTTTTCTCATCCTTCTTTTTCCTTTTGCAACATTGACGGTAGCAGACACAATAACAGCAAATGCCAGCTATAAGGAGTGCTAACCCAACAGCTGCAAATACTGCCCACCATGGTACTGTGAAAGAAAGATAAAGAACAATTTTAGTTCTAGTTCTTCATGTGGATTTTAGTTTTTCATCATTCAAGCAAATTTAGTTAAATTTAGTATGTTACAGTCATGTTTAATTCATCTTCACCTAGCAACAAGGAGAAGAATAGAATGAGTCAAAACTTGATGTTTAGATTTCTTGAACATTTGGCAAATAAAATACTCAGGACCATGAATTAATTATGTATCCCAACACAGTCTATCCTTTAAAAAAGCAGGAAATTGAGGCATACTTCCTTCAAAAGATGTTTCCTTAGGCACTGGAGTCATTCTTTTTGGGGGCTTTACTGTAGGTGTTGTAGTGGCTAAAGTAGTTGTTGTTGTGGTGGTGGTGGTGGTAGTAGTTGTAGTGGTTGCTTTTACTGCTGAACTTGTCTTTGGCTCTTTGCTGTCTTCTTTGTCACTTTTGTTGTGTTTCACAGTTCGGTTGGTAAGTGTTGTAATTCCCATATGATCTCAGTGGTGCTGAAATTGGAATATAATGTGATGTCAGTCATACAATCAAACAAGTGTGCTTTCACAGGTTTGAGTAACATCCTCTCCTTTCAGATGTACCCTTTGAGATTATTATACCAGGTGCAATCAGATTTGTTCTTGAGTTAAAACCACTTTTGGCAAAAAGTGGATATTACGAGGTTGTAAGCCAGTCTCTAAAACCAACAGGACACTTCTACATCATGCAACACATGAATTTTTCAGAAAGTGTAATCTTGTAAAGTTGGCACCATGACTGTGACTAAATCACTTGGACAGCGATTATGATTGCCAAATATCATATCTTTGCCAAAAATATTTGCATTGGTATCTTGGATTTTGAAAGCTTTATTTTGCACCTGAAAGATGTACAGCTCATTTTTTGCACTTAAGCTAGTAAAAACAACCAACTTGATAAATTCAAGGAAACATGGGCAACTTTTTCTTGGATGTGTGAGTAAGGTGTACCTACCTAGTATTTCATTGCCACACAAAATAAAAAGTTACAGGTGAAATTTCAAGTTGTGCCAAAAGGTTTAATATTGTTGGGGGTTTTAAAGATGTATATATTAAGTATATTTTATTTATTCGTTTGTTGTATTCATTTACCTACTTATTTATCTATCCACTGTAAGTAAGGTGATTCTTGCATGCAATGGTGTAGTACTGTTTTTAAGTTATAGGTGGCATTATTGATTTAGAATGTAATATTTTATCTCGGAAAAAACAAGAAATCACAAAGAGATGTCTAAGTCCGTGGAGAGTCAAGCTACAACTGTAATGAAATCTCCCCTCCTTCTACTAACCAATCCACTAGTTTCGTTTTGCAAGCTTAATCTCGCCTGCTTCCACCTCTCCCCGCTTGCTAGAAGAATTTTACCCTTTGCCAGAGTAAGGGCCCGAGTGCAAGAAATTAGGTGATATTCTAGAACCAGACCCGAGGAACTCATCACTTTAAAATTGTTTCTGGTGGAAATATTTAGGAAACACTAAGCGCGTGTAGATGCAGACATTATTTCATCAAGTGTGGGTACAAAATCTGTTCAAATCTTCATGCAGCTTAGTCGAGAACAATGCAAACATTTCAAGCTCCAAGTGATCTGAATGAAGATAGCTAATACTTACTGTACGAGTAATTCTTTGCGCATTGTTCCAAACAGATGGATGAAATCGTACGACCGGAGCCCTTGATTTTAAAATTAAGTTTGGGCATCAAGCCCAGCCTGGATGTAGCTAGTATTCAGAGCAATTCCTTATTCGTAAAACAGTCCACTGAAAACCGTTAAACTTCAAACACAACAATAGAATATAAACAAATTTGTGAGGTGTTCAATTGGTTTACATCAATTAGAAATTTGCATTCATTTGACACGGGTCGTTTCAAACCACTTCAGGCTCACACGCGATTGATAACTACAAAACAATATCTGAATAATTTTACGATCCGTTATTTTAAAAGTGTTTTACTCACCAATGGTATGAACACTTGTCAGTTTTTTTTTTCCGTCGTTCGCTTATCAAAACGAAACACAATAGAATAATCATGATAACGAGTGTGACTAAACAGATTTATGTGTCATTTTGCCGCGCCGATTTTTAAACAAGTACGGAAAGGACTGGTGCGAGAGCCGATGGGAAATAAGACCTAAGTACGGTTCTACTTGGCGAAGAGCAGAGTCGAACATGATATTTTTTCCCATAAGGAAATGCTTGCCGGAGGTTGGAAAAATTTCAAATGTTAGCAATGATATAGATTACTATTCTTGTGACAATATAGGATACTGTTGTCATATTGTTTGGTTGTCATTCGCCCGTTCAATCCGCTTTCATAAATGAAAAAATATATTCCTAGATTGGAAAAAAGCTCATCTAATCGGTAAATCGACTTCCGTATTCGGCAAGGTTATAAGTACGAGTATTTAATCGCGAGATATTTCATCCTCTCTCTCACAGGAAATTTTATATTGATTTTCCCTAGATCGCAATCAATTGCATGCGTGATTACATTCTAGAAATTGTCAGAAACCACAGGCGTAATAAAGCGATTCCATATCGCTCTTCCGCTAGCTACTTAAGAACAAAGCAGTAAAAAAGTTACCACCGGAAAAATTCCTATATGAGAACGTTAACGCATGCAACACACGTTTACTGACTTTAAATGCGTGAAACAAACTGAATCTGACAAGTCAATACGTTACCGGTCAGTAAAATGGTATCCAATATGTTTATCTTCACTTTGTAATTACGCTGGTGATTTCTTCGAGATAAAGACTCTCACTAGACAACTCATTCCTCCCTAAAAGCCAAGCTTTGTAAATCTAAACAGTTTTTCTCGAATAAGGATTAAATATTACTATCTGAAGGCTGCCATGTTGCTTCAACAACATGCGGTCGAGGGCATTTTTTTAGTCTGATCTAACGTTGTCAGTTGCAGATAAACTTTTAAATATTTAATCGACCTCGAGAAGGGATGTTCAGCTCGGAACATTTGTTCCACATTACTGCATATTGCAATTGTTATGTTAGATAGATGCCGTGCAAATTGATGGCACAGTCGGCGAGAAGTTTTATTAGATGAGTTTTTCACGCACGATTGGGTTAGTTTTCCGCATTGAGAGATTAATGAACAATGGGATCGGGGAAAAAAAGTAATGACAATTTTGTTTACTGTTTCTCAAAAACAGCTAGATTCCATTTTGTGTCTGTTTGCATCAAGCATTCTTGCTTCAGATGTTTTAAATGACTTCGTTGTTTTTCTTCAATATAGCGACTCATAAGTGATAGAGTGAAGAACAGGGTTTTAGGAAGGGAGCATTTAAGTTTAAACCCCCTTATCATCACTCTAAGAGACCACAGAATAAATCACACTCACCTTTGTAAACACTGCATGATTCCGTCTGTCGAAGATTTAAAGTTTATGCAAGTCTAGTCTAAACTTTGCAGCAGTTTACTTCAAATGACAGTGGCGATTTCTGAAATTTCTTTGAGTCAATGTTGATCACAAATAAAACGCGCGTACGCGACCGGATCACAGTTCAAAAGATTCACCTTACGTGGCCCTGAAGTTTTAATTTTGGCTGTAATGATGCACCTCATTACTTATATCCTGTGCATTACAAGAGTGCAAATGTTTTATGACAGGTGTTTTGTTAAAGGGAGACAGGAATTTAAAATACAAATAGATATTTAATACGCCCACCTATCCACGTAATCGAGGCTGTGTTCCCCTTATTCAGATGCAAATTAACCAGCAATTTAGTGTCTTGCGAAAATATCCTTTCATCGAGATCCTCAGCAACACAGTTATGAGCAATATCGTAAGTATTGACTTCAGATCGTCGTCGATTGGAAAACATTCCACGACGGTTCGAACAAATTTGACTGGGTTTCCTGTGCGGACTCTCACGATCATATATTAAACACCACACCAAGCTGATGTAATTGACTTTTAGGAAGAAGTTTACTCTGAAGAGTGGAAAGTTGATCATTGAAAGCAAATTCTACCATTAAAAACTTAAATGTTATTTAAAAGCGTTTTCTAATTTATAAGGAAATTTCCTTCTGCGGGCAGTTTCTTGTGCGCCAGCTATTTTCTGCTGGTAACCTCCATCAATAACCGCCTAATCATAACCTGTTTCTCTTCAAGGGTAACAAAAGTCTTTTAAATTCATGACTCAGTCGTCTAGACCAAAAGCAACTTGCAAAACCCTTATATAAAAAAAGAACACGTGTAAAAACGCAAAGTTTATGCGATACTGCATGTTATTATTTGTTACTATTTGTGTTGTTATTGTTGTTTTTAATGTTGTAGTTGGAAAAAATAAAAATTCTAAGTCGCGAACATCTGCCGGGTTAATTTTTTGATTCTGTGTTCCTAATGTCAGAAAAATTGAAAAAAAATTCAATTTCAGACAGTTAGGAAAGCATATTCAGGACATGCGAGTGATATGTGACAAATTACTCCTCATATTGTTTCATAAAACTGGACAAACTAGTTATGCCGGGCTAACACATGGAAGCATGTTTCTGGAAAATTTTAGCGCGCACACAAATCAATGTTTCTCACCCGATATGATCGTGTGAAGAAGTCATAATATTTTCATTTTGAAAAAACAAGTAAAGCATTCTGAAGTATTGCAAAAACACATTTGTTGCCAAAACATATTGAGAAATTGCATGTCGTAATTCATATCTAATGTTAATATATTCTGGAAAAACGCTATCGACTGTGCTTCATACAAAATAGGTTTGACGAGAAGCCGAGTAAATAATTGGTTGGAAATGAAATACGCAAATGAGATACGGTCAAAGAAAGACACTTTGTGCTTGCCGTAAGTCCATCTTGGTTGAGACTCAAGTTACACGTAATGTATGCAAAGGTCGCAGCGATTGATACGCAGACTTAAAACAATTGATATAAAAGACCGCTATGTGAAGGTTGAAAGCTTGAATTCCTTTTTAGAAGATAACAGGTTGACAATGACTAAGGAACTATCACGTGTCACATAACAAGGTGCAAAATATCAACCATACGAATAAACGTTTTCGTCCCCTTACCTGCTCAACGTACTCCAGACAAGAAATAATCCCTCACTTTTTTAAAAAAATTACCTAAACAATTGATGACAACGGAATTTTTCCGATATTGGACCTCACTAATTTTTATGCATCTCTAGCGAAGTATTTTTGAGTATTTGAGTAATGTTGATCAGTATCAAGTGACGGTTATACAGCCGCCTACCCGACTATTGGTAGCACTGCACAACAATGATAACAAAAACTGCAATTGTGGGATTTTCGAGCAGTGGAGGAAAAAAAAGAACGGCTTGCAAAAAATCGAGAAATCCTTTGCTTCTTTTTACCGTTCTGCTGCCTTCATTTTCGTCTAACGCTCCCAAAAAAGTCACAAAATAAGTAACTAGATATGCCTAGGTGCAGGACCTCATGATTTGAGGTCCAGTGGGGTGTAACTATAGTTTTGTACCCAGACCTTTCACGGCCAACCGGTTGTGTAGTAGGATCTGGGTATGAGATAAGAGTAAGCATGTCACGCCTCATCTCGCAGATCTTAGTCTCTAAGTGCTACTTTGCTGTTGTCATCCTCGTGACCAGAATTTGTCTTTTATGGATAATTGTTGTGAATTAATTACTGAAACTTCATTGTGTAAAAAATGTCCAAAGTACCTCCAAGTTTATCAAGCTAAATCAAAATTATGTAATTTTTCATTTCTCTAGTACCAGTGTCCTTAAAGTTTGAGTCGGTGCCAGGCCGCGACAGGCCTCCGCGGCGATATCAACATTTGATGCCAGTGCCTGAGGGATTCTCCAGTGGTAGCTGAGCCTATTACCACTCGACCAATTACGTCACTTCTTGTGGAGTCTGATTTAGCGTCAGCTACTGATATGACAAACAGAACCCTGTGGAGGAGGTCTGGGGGGACGTCAAACATCATACACTCATTATAAACAGGATTAGGCTCCTGTTTCCTTGTGGACGTTTTCTTTTTCTTCACTTTTTTGCCATCGAATAAAAGAACAACTTTGATGAATGGATCTGTTAAATGAACAAAAAAACCTGTATGAATGGTTTCAAATGTCAGCAGACGTTAAGTTGTCAAAGAAGCTCCTGGAGGTATTTAACGTAGCGGGAATTAGAAAAATTTCAATGCAACTAAAAAAGTGTATATTTGTTAAATGTTATAAATGACCGCAGATCTAATTCGGTGCTGTACATTGTTTGTCTATACAAGACAGGCTGAGTCAATAAGGCGAAAGCACAGAAAAAAAGCTTCCGTGTGGCCAATCGTTCTCCTGTTTCATATTTTAAATAACATTTTTTTTGTCCTTATGATCTTTTGCAATCACAAAGGAACATAATGACGAATTCAAGACAGAGGGGAATACAAATCAACCACAGGATACTTACTGATTGGTTTTGACTCAGTGTTCCAGTCGCTGAGTGGTGGACTAAGGTTTCTGGCCTTCATTAATACTATTGACATTCTCTCAGCAGTTGGCATATAGCTGAGGGAGAATAAAATCTCCCCCAGATTGGCTTTTGTCTGCGAAATTAGAAAGAAGGTTTGTTACTGAAGACAGGGAATAGAGTGCCGTCATTAAATCATTCAGTCAGTCCGTCAGTCAGACAGTCAGTCAGTCAATGAGTCAGTCAGCTAGTCAGCGAGTCACTGAGTCAGCGAGTCAGTCAGATAGTCAAAGAGTTCCAGTCTATATGTCCGTCTGTTTTGTATTTATGGCTGCTTGTCTTGGTTGTCTTTCTGTTTTTCACTATGTTTGTCTGTGCACTTTAAGGTCTCTTCGTCTATTTGCTTCTCTAGTTATCCTTATTGACTTGGAGTGTTTTCGCAATTCATATTTCGCATCTTTTGATGTCAAGTATATCTCATGAATGTACCACAAACCTTTTGAAATGACCTCAGCTCCTTATCAAAGGCAACAGACTCATCTGCCTTGAGCACATGGCCAAGTTCAACTTGAACCTCTCCGATTATGTGATGCCGGGAGTACTTGTCAATTTCCCAAACAGATAAATGAAGAATGGAATTTTCCACATCTTGTAATGACATGTTAAACTCATAACTCTCTCCAAATTTTGGATTTGTGGATTTCCTGAAGACGTCCGTCTGTCCCTTCAAAATTCCTTCTTCATCTGGTTGAAGCCTCACTTTTACGTAGGTATCTACACTATCCCAGAAGTCTTTTCCGACCAGCTGGCTTGCCTCGATGATAGTCAACAAAAGAGTTTGTATTTCATTTTGATAAACCATAGAAAATTTAATTCTTCCTTTATTTTTTGGCGGACTTAGCCTTTGGGAAGTTTGCAGCTCTATCTCTCCGTTCATTTTATTTCTTTTTTCCAGTTCACACTCGCTGCATTCAGCAGCAAAACTTGGGAATGGGATGACAGATACTTTTGCAGCAGTATTCTTGTCAGCAGTAGTCTTGAGGTACGACGAGTCTTTGTACGCTGGCTGTTTGTGGAGTCGACTTAGCTTGCAGACCATGCAAACGACCATAAGAATAAGGATCGCTATTGCCCCGCTCACTATACCAAGCTTAGCTTCTTCGGTTAAATAAAGCATTACCAGCTGCTTCCTGGTTTAATTGACATGTAGAACAAGTAGAAATGTTGTTTGAATAAGAGCTTATTATCAAGGAGTTTATAACCTCCCTTAATATATTCTGATTGGCTACTCAAAGTCCGAATATCCTTTGGTATTCATCTCCAAGCAATGTGCACGGGATATTTACCCGAAAATATTGTATCGATAGATACAATAACGATCTGATAGGTAGTCAGAGATTGCAATTTTGTTTGCGGGAAAGCTTGTTGCATGAACCAGGGATTTGTTCACTACTGCATGCAATTTGGTATTCAATTCGGGGTGTGTAGACTAATGAAAGTGATCAATTTTCATAACAGTCTTCTCGACCAGGGAAGCATTTTTTCAGTAAGCCTTCCGGTTGGTTTGTCTGTCTGGGTAAACAGCACATAAAGGAACCCACCGGGAAATAGAGGAAAATCAGTTTGAGCACTAAGGATACAAAGCCGAGCTTTTTAATGATGGTAATATTTCATTCTAGGTTGTTTTGTTTTCAAACAAAAACAGCCTTGGAAATCAGATGTAGGCCAACGATAAGAAAGAAGTACTTACCCGTGTGTTGACTGCCGCCAAGCGACAAACCGGTTACTAAGTCTATTAAATTTATAAACTTCTAGAAGGCCAGCTTTTAACAAAGATACACCGGCTGGAGACCTTTTATGCCGTCAAACTACTCATTCATCTACACAGTAGTACATTTTTCAGGGTATTTAATCTATATGAACTGAATTTTATAGTAAAAACTTGAACGATTAAGAAAGGTTTCTTGGCCGTGATGAACAGAAATTTCCGAAAAGCAACAAACATGAAAGTGAATCAGTAATTTCAATACTATCCTACGGACCACAAATCAGAATAAACACAAGTCTTATCAGTGAAGCTACAGTTGGTAATGTTTATATTAATCAAATGAGAACTTAACACGGAAACAAAACATGAAGAGTTACCTTGAGGAAACACTTTTTTTAACTCCTCAGGACAAAACCTTTAACTTTCATCACTTGCCATGGTAAAACCTCTCACACTCAATGAAGAACGCCCAACCATGTCCTAAGAACGAAAAAAGTGGCTGATACAACCACTCCCAAACCTTACTGAGCTCAGTTCAGTGCCGGCTCAGCGTATTAATTTTAGATCATAATCTATGCATTTCACGTGTGTAAACCATAACGCCACAGACCGATTTGGACATTGTACGGACTGTGTACAAATTCACCCGCGACTCAAATTTAATCGTAAACGTTCAGTTGAGAATTGATCCCTGTTTTCTTATTTCCTGAGCCTGAAGTGATATTTCGAAAAATCTTTTGTACTAAGCGTGGGAAGAATGTAGCAAAAACACAACAATTAAACCTGCTCTTACTTCAAGGTGCCACACTGTCCGGGTCGCCACTCTTCGAGATGTTTACGGGATTTTTCAGGTACCAGTTCTTCGGTGAAGTCTCCACTGAGTCAACTTAGTTCACGGTTAAATTAAAGATGTGGCGAATTATAAAAAGCATCACGGCGAAGGTTAGACGAAGAAATAAATACACTTTAATGAGTTAAATGCTCTTCATATTGTTATCATTAGGCATTTGAGGGTATGGTCACCTTCGTTCACTAAAAGCTAATCTTAGAAATTTTCTGTCAAAAAGGTAACTCGATGTATCGCACAGGGCGCGCTGAGATTGGTGGGTAGCATGGAACCTCTCTCATTCGCAGTACTGAAACACAAATTGTAATCGGGCCAACGATGAAAATACAGCGGCGAGAGGCACAGACGACGAGCAGTCCCTACTTTTCAGTGAAGTCCGTCGCACGAGTAACAATAATTATTAAAAACGAAGTTGATGCTAACGTGCCGCGCGGAACTGTGGGAGTGAGGCGTACGAAAAGTAGTAGGCTCTACAATCTAACTCTCTAGGTTTGTCTGTAGTCCCTAATTTTCGTGTACCTCACACCTAGATCTAAATATATGACCTTCATATATTCTTAACCACCTAGATCTCTGCACGGCGCACTAATAGCAATTCTTTTTTTTTCAGTTTTGACTCGCGCGACGGGATTCGCCGAAAAGCAGGATTACAAGGTTCCTAAAGTGGAGTTTTTGGGTTGAATTGGTTGATCTGCAGATACAAGGCATCACCAGTGAAAACCAAAGGCGTGCTTGCCGCGCTGTGAAACAGAATCGTGACGTAATAAATGACCAAGGACCAGCAAATGGAAGCCAATAACACAAGTATGTTCCTGGACAATCAGGATAACGAGAAAAAACAAAAATTGTAAGGTTGTAAAAGTGTGTAGTTCTTTTCAAGTCATCTAGTGAACTCTTTGCTTTGAATTGGTGGCCAGTGAAAGAATTTAATTCTTCAATGCTTTCTTTCTCGGCAAGAAATTTTAAGTACAAATCTGGAATACTTGACATGTGAATGAGAGGTACAAGATTCTTGAAGGATTGTCCTCTTTGATTTTTTGAATATTTGTACCAGTGGATAAGAGATTCCAGCAGTTGAGTTTCACTGGAAACAATATCATCATTTGCTAGTAATGTTTCCAAGTCATCTTCTGTTACCTGTAAGAGTTGTTCAGATATTGAAATTTGCTAATAATTGCTACAAGTCATCTCTTAAACATCTGCTTTAATCTCGGACAAGAAATGAAAGAACTTGGCTAGGTCAAATAAAAGCCAGAAATTTGACAGTCAGAGAACTTTTTAAAAAAACAATAATTGTTTCTCTTAACACCTCAAATAAAAGGTAGTCTAAAGCATGCAACAAGCTCTTTACATTGTCAAATGTGATAATGATTTCTCCACTATAAATAAAATTCAACAACTCATTTACTATTGCATCATCTATGATTTCAAGGTGAACATCATGTTCCTGGACTTCCTTCATGTCAGACCTAAGAAGCCCTTGGAAATAGCAACTCACAGCTGCCAATAACTCTTATGAACTGGAATAGCCCTTCCAGAGCTAGTGATGAGTCTGAGGTCACACAAAAATTCTTCATGCCAAAATTCCATTATTTCTTTCAAAATTGACTCCTCTTGGCATATAACAAATTTTTTTTAAAAGTAGCCCCACAAGAAGAGCCATTGCTCATTGAGGAAAGATATTCAGCTCAAACTTCTTTTAAATCCTGTAAGATCAAAACATCTGAAATATGACTGAGTCTATATTTTCCAGTGTGCAAAAAGTTAAGAATATCCTTAATACCTTCCACATTAATGAGTTCATAATGAACTACAGCTGGTGATACTTGAAACAAGTCTCTGAAGAACTTATAGCTTACTGCCAGTACATTCTTGTGCACCAAGAAATCTTTCCCATCAACTGTTAAACTAAAATCAACATGAAGCTTCTGATGTCTAAAGCTGCTGAGAGTTTCCATAATAGTGGTTCTGTACAACCCAATGTCTGCCTTTTGGTACTGAATCTCTTCCTTACAGATGCTTCTTCTTGCTTTGAAACTTCTGTTGAAACTTCTGTTACACTTTCATTTGTAAATAAACATACACATATTGATGTAAATACTCAAATTATCTTGTTTTCTGTTGAATATTGAAATCCTCCTATTGGTAATCTGTTATATCCAATTTGAAGGAGTGTCCTACAGACATTAAAAGAACATAATTATATCATCTCTAATAATATACATGAAAAAATGTGCATCTGATTGGCTGAAAGTGAGTGCATTTTTCATGTAACATGAGTGTAAATTACAAATAGCGCACATGTGATGCCAAAATTTTGTCTGTCTTAAATTACTATGAAGTGTTTCTCATGTAAATTATAAATGGGCAACAACAAGATTTCTCAAGCAATTTGGTGACATGATTTCTAGTGCAATTTGGCATTAATAAGCACTTATAAATTGTTCAAAGACTACAAATTGCACTCACCCTACAAGCTCAAGCAATTTTTTTGTCTTTGAAAAATTTACATGTGCTTATTAATGCCAAATTGCACTAGAAATCATGTCATTACCTATACAAACTTCATAGCTGACAAATTAGAGGACCATTAAGAAATGGCTCTGTAAACGTCCGAAAAATTGGGCAGAGTGTAATTCCTTTAACCATAGATTTTGAGCCACTAAATAAATCTAGCACCATCTCCTACTCTATTATGCAGTTAAGTGGTTTTGTAACGTCTTCAGGACTTTTTTTGCAAAATAATCCAAGCCAATGGTACCATGATAAAACATGAGAGCTAAATGGTATGACTATAGAAAATTTATTAGCAGTCTACTCCTCTTTGAACATACAAATAATTCAGAAATAATCTGGTGGAGAAACAAAGGCTTAAAAATAGTTTTTACTTATGTAACAATCGTCGGAATAAATGATAATCATAGGCATGGATGAACACTTTTTAGTAGACGTCAACGTTTTAAATGATAATTCCTTGGGTTGTGTGAGACTTGAGATCACTGGAAAGGCAAACCTCTAGGTGGCAATTGCTCACCCCCCATCTTGGAAATCATCAGCCGTCTTTGAAACATACACGAAACCACAACAACCTCAAGAAGATTGTGCTAAATTTCGGTCTTCCCGAGCGAAAAATAATAGATCTCGATCGTAGATCACTTTGCATAAGACAGTCAGTTAGAATGCCAAATGTAACTACTATATGTACCTGAAAATTTGGTGGATGCAGAAACTTCCGGAACTGTGAGCCATCCTCTCGAAGAGTTTATCCATCGGGAAACCTTCGGAACATATCCGAAGTTCACCGAAGCTGGACGAGGACTTTGTCGTTTATTGCGTTCCAGTCCCACGATCGATGACTCAATATTGCACGCCATGATAATGCTCAAATTCTACCACACTCGACGCAATTTCATAAATTGTGTGATGCCTCATCCTTCGTTTGGATGAACCTTTGTACGTAGATGGTATCGAGTAAAATTTTGCGTCGCAAAATTGGCGTTGTAGGACTAACGCAGAGAAAAAATTGAGGTAAGCATTTAGAAATGTCACGAAGGTTTGATCAACACACCCTCAAATCTTGAGATAAGACTAGTATTTATTAAAATTTCATAACGCTGTTATTTAAGATCGATAATTTCATGTCCTGTGGAGAACATGGTCATATGAAGATTGAAATCTTTTCTGTGAACTTTGAGAGCACAAATTTAATCGAGGAAAAAGAAAGTGTAATACTTCAGACAGAAGTGTGTCCTAAATTAAGAATATTTTACATGTGTACTTTTTATTACATCACACTGTTAAACTATAGTTTAGTTGTTCGATGTTTGAAAGGAACTGACTGTGGTTTTGTAATTTTTATTTCTATCTTCATATGCTTAAGATCAACTTAAGAGAGTTTGAAGTATCGAAACAAGAAAAATATCAGCTGTGATCAATGAGTACTGTAAAGTAATTATGTTACAAAAAATTTTTAAGATCAGGCAATGTAGGTCCTGGTTTAAGGTCATTCCTCGGTATTGAATTTTACATCTTACTGCACACAATTTTGAAGGGATCTGTTTGCACATATCAAAGTTTAAAATTCTAATTTTTACAGGGACTGTGATGCATTGAAATTTTGAGGGTTTTGATTTTTGTTGATGTTACAAATGGTAACTGATCTGTAAAAGTAAGTTTGCTCTGAAAACATTCCCTTGAGATAAAACACTTCACATATTTACTAACATCAGTCTAATTAGAGGAAAAGCAATTTGTATTCTTTGCATTGGAACTCACTTGAAAATCCATTTATTAACAATGCATCCTGTATTTTTTCTATAAGAATTAACAAGTTTGAAAAATAGGTTTCTTTCCTCAATAACATTCTACTGTTTGAATAGAAAATTGTAGCAATAAGGTACCAGTATTAATCTCAAACCACTTAAATTTTTCCCTCTAAACAACTGTAACTGCCAATCTAGAGGATAAAACACCTTCAAAATTTTATGATGTATGGTAAATTGCCATATATAACTTTGCTCATTTTTGGAACCAATTAAAATAGATATGAAATCATTTCTTAGTGCAGTGCACCAAAGTCTGAGAAACAATTTTGAACATACTTATTTTGCTGTCAATGTACATTTTTCATG